CCTAATAAACTCTATTACGCTTACAAAAGCAACTGGGGCCAAATTCCTTTAACCACACAAAGAGTCAAGAGTTCTGCCTTGAGCTGAAATGCTAGCTCACAGCTTGGGGGTCCTCATCTGCCTCCAAGGGCTAAGGGGGTGCTACATATGTCAAGCCAAAATCTTTTTTTTTTTTGATAGAATGTTATCGGACATGAAGTGATGGACAATCTGTAACAGAGGCAGAAATAAATATCTAACAGGGGTTCTTGCTTTCCCCTGCTCTGCTAAAAGAAGCATTTTTCCTAATAATGCTTTTTTTTATGTTAACATCAATACAGACAGAATAAAAAAAACATCACTGACATACAAAATTCTTGAATGTTTAAAAGATACAACAGTATGATATAAAAAAGACTAGCAGTGAGAAAAGCAACACTGGGACAGAAGGTAAATAGGGTGGGAACGTCCCCCCCTCCTGAAAATCACCTAGGCTAGTTTATATTGACGTGGGCTTGTCCTCTTGTCACCTCCAGTCAAAAGTGGACAATAGGTATATGTGTTAGGAAATATTAAACTAAAATGGAAAATTATATAAGGAGAAAAGGAAGAGAACAGTATAGCACAAAGATAGAAAAAGAACTACAATTTTGGGGGAGGATAGGGAGAAATGAGTAATTGATGGGAAGGGGTAGGTTATGGGTAATAGGGCTTGGTTAGTTCTGCAAAATAGTAATTGGTTCATTAATAAGCAAAAACACTATAAATGGGGGTTGCCAGACAGATCTGTATTGATATTGGAGTGTTCCTCTCACTTCCTCTCAGGTATATTGTGTTCAGCAGGACAAGTAGTAAGAGAAAATCTCTGTAACTGAAGCAGTGAGGGAGTGTTTCCATTAAATGCTAACTCCGAACTAAGGGCTTCCTCACCCAGTAACACCTGCTCCCCCAACTGGAAGCTCCCTTGACAGTATTATAGTTATTTATTTTTTTAAATATATAATTACCTCATTGACAAGTCTTTAGGCCGGTCATGGGATCCTCTTCCTCTTTGTCTTTTCTCCACTACTGGGCGGTCCTCAAGGATTCAAAGAGCGGTGCTTATGTAATGACCTCCTAAGTGTCAATTTACAAGCATTAGGCAATTAGCATACCAGTGAACAATAATGTGCTGTACACCTCAGATCAGCCCAAATTCCTACACCATCAGAATAGCAGAGGTTTTACATTTATACGTGCTACAATGGTTCCACTGGGAGGAAGAAGAGGGTTGGCGGGCATGCATTTTCATGCAACAACATCCTACACTGGTACTGGGAGTAGGGCTGGTATCTGAATGTCAGATTGGTTTCTCCGAAAACATAAATTTATTTGTATTAGTTAAAGGTATTTGTACAGCACTGACAACCTACCCAGTGCAAATTCACATCAGCGCCTGCCCTCAAGGAGCTTAGAGTCTAAGGTCCCTATCTCACATGCATACATACACACTAGAAGATTTAGACAGGAGCCAATTAACTTTCTAGCATGCCTTTGGAGTGTGGGAGAAAACACACACAAGCACAGGGAGAACATGCAAACTCCTTGCAGATAGTGTCCTGAACAGGATTTGAACCAGGGACCCCCAGTGCTGCAAGGCAGTAGTGCTGAAGGTGGGTGCCCTAGAGACACAGGACTGCCCAAGCTTTGTAATGGACAACAGTTCTGTATTTGTTGGGAGCATAGGCCAAGTAGAGAATCGTCCGGCGAACCTGTCTGAGCCCATGTGCCTGCCAAGTGATGATTTTACAGATGCTACTGAAGATGATATTGCATGCCTACCCTGGTGCTCATACCTTAGGTTGCCTTTCCCTCATAAACCAATATGGCATATTAGCCATCAATAAAAAGATTTGTGTGCTGCACTTTTTACGTTGTAGTGTGTCAGTGACAGAGACCAGTAAAAGACTAATAGATATACCTTTCTCATCTTACCCTACACTGGGCCCTCTACATATAATTTATAAAATACAGGGATAGAGGACTTGAAAGTACAGGAGAGTTCAAGTGAAAATCGCTGAAATATTTTCCATTGTCTATTTTTTTCTTTACACGTTTTACATTCTATTAGGCTGAATTGACTTCAGGCTAAAAGACATAGCTTGGCCTATATCTCCAGTCCCATCATGCATTGTTCCAGAGTTCAGGCATGTACTGAACTAAAGATATAAGATACTGTATCTCTGAATTTTAATGGCTGTAGACACACTGAGACATTCTGAGCGAACTTCTGTTTTATTATATTGTGCTTTGTGACACAAGCCACGAAGGATCTGTTGTATTACAAATGAAGTGATGAAGGTAATAATAAAAAGCAGACCACCAGGACTGGAGCCCTACTACAAAACCATCTAATAAATTGAGTGCAGTTTCCTTGATTAATCAAATGCTTTACATTCCACGTGTCATTAGGCATAACTGTTGCTGCCCTTGGGCCTACTGACAAGATCATTTCCGGAGTCACTGGGGGGCTTCACTGCAGTCAGAAGGTGACGCTTCTTCAAGCTAATAGTGGCCACCTGCAGATAGATTATTATCTATGCATTAGTACTATTGCCCTTCAAAGGAACCTGTCATGAGAGAAACATGGAGGCTGCCACTATCTCCCTCTCCTGAAAGTTATAGATGCCTGACTGTTATACTTAACCTATTGCTTCAGTACTCTTAGACACAGACCAATAACAAGTATACAGGTGAGCATTGCGTACTTTCCTGACCTGCAATGTCTTCCTTATATTGTAAGGCGCTGCACAAACTGTTGGCTCTATATAAATCCTACATTATAATCATTTTAATAATAATAATATTGTGTAGGTGTGATGGTCAGGTGGCATGCAGGGCAAAGGAAGAGGGTCCCCCTCTCCAGTAGCATATACTCAGCAGCATTCCTTTACCTTTGCATGGCTCCTTCAGCCACTAAGAACCGATGGAGAGCATGTAAGTCACTCTCATTCTACATGGGACGAGGAAAGGATTCCATAACCCTATATAAGCTGTGAAAAGTTTGCTTTCTTTCCCTGGTCTCACCATTTAAATGGAGCAATGGAGAAGTTGATAAATTTTTTTGGGGGGGGGAGGCTAAGGGACCCTCTTTCATTGTCTTCTATTGGCAAGGAAGAGTGTTACTTTAGAAATGTAATGAAGCCAGTCTGCATAATACCCAGGGAAATAGTATTTTTAGGAATTCAACAATGGCAGACGACAAATTCTTCTTATAGAAGATTTACTCTAATCTCTTATCTAATCTTGTTTGGATATGTATGTATTAATTTACATACTTCAATTAATTAAGCATAGGTTTACGTATCCAACAATGCAAAGATCTAGCAAAAAGATTACGCAAATTAATAAAATAATAAACCAGGTGAATGTGTGTCTGTCACTGGTTATGCAATCCATACACAGTATGTCTCACTCCTAAACCTGATATGAAGCTTTAACACGTGGCAGGAAGGTGTTTTGGCTTGCTGCTGTTTGCCTTGAGGTATCAGGATCATAGCGCTTGTGTCTGTTAGTTCTCAATATTCACTACAGGCTTTGCCAAATTAAATTGTACTCTTCATAGCTGTGAGCTAATCTTCTGATTCTATAATTTAGCTCATTCCCATGGTGGCATAACAGTAGGCTAGCAGAAGTAATTAAAGTTGAGCTTCAGCCCTTGAGCTCTTGCACAGTTGTACCGGCTCCTCTCCTGGATTTAAATTGTTTACTCTGATTTCTTTGCAGACTGTGAGCTCTTCACAATGTGCATTACAAGCTGCAACAAGTCAGACAGAGCCCGTCTCATTTTCTGGATGGAGGCTGTCCAGTATCTTCTAACTCTTTCCTCCTCAACCTGAATGTCCTCGTCCTGCCCCTTTCATTCATTGGATTTCAGCTCTTTCAATCATAAAAACTCAGCATCGCATGCAGGTATTACCACAAGCAAATGCAGCCTGCCTAGGATCACCCACTACTCCAGACTGACATCTACCCATCAAGACATTTTAAAAATGTAATAACTGCTTGAAAGTTGTTGCAAGAATTGCTTACATCAGGGCTGAGAGCTCATGAGAGGAGTATTGAGGCAGGGGGCAGTGATATATTCCGGAAGCTACACAGAGCACCCTACCTGTCCCTCTCATCAGCCATAATCTGCCTGCATTGCATAGAAAAGCAACAATACCGAATGATGGTGTCACTGGGTCCAAAATAAGGTCTGTAAATCTGTTAATCTCAGAGGTGTTGAGTAATGTATGTACGTTAGAAAAAGCATTGGTGGACCAGCAATTAAAAGCAGAGGGGTTTTCATAACCTGGAATAAACAGGGGGTAGTTAATAAATGTGGAGTGTGGTAAGCCAAGTAGATACAAATTTGTTGGCACATTTGTAAGAATCCCATATACAGTATTTAAAGTGACACTAAAGTCAGGAGTTCAATTTTAAAATGCATTCAAGTACCTTAACTATTAACTAAATGTATCTTATTTGTGTATCACTCGGCTGTAGATCCTCAAATCATCTGTGAATTGGTGCTGACACTGTCCTTCCTTCTGGAGGGTGGCTACTTTTGTTCCCCATGGTCCCTGTGTGTGTTGTAATGTACCCACCACTCCAAGCTCACTCCCGTGAAGGACTGCAATCTCAATGCAAATTAGTAAATTAAATGTGAGACTGTAGTCTATCACTGGAGGGGTGGCTACTTTACAACACACACAGGGACCATGGGGCACAAAAGTAGCCCCCCTCCAGAAGGAAGGACAGTGTCGGGAACCAAATCAGAGATTCTTTGCACTCACCGAATGGACAAAACAAATACTATCAATTGTACATTTCAAAGACCAAAACGAAGCAAACATAACTTCATTATTAGGGTTTGCATACATTTTAATCACAATAAAAGTTGTTCTGATTGTCACTGTTATAACCAAATACATTGTTTCTAATGCAAGCAACATATTGCTTATAATTACAGCAGTGCTGACTGAATACCATTGGGCAAAATGAAGGGACAACCCAACCTACACACTATGATCGTTTTGTCGCTGTTGGCGGTCACAGTTTTCTTCTCCAGCCTTGGGCAGAGTCAAGGTAATAATAATCCTTAATAGACACGTTCTGATTCTCTTTCAGGTTTATCTGGTGTGCAGATGGAATCTCTGTGTAAATGATTGAAATGTATCAGAATTTCTATAATGAGAAAGAGTACATATTATCACTGTTCATATACATTCACCTGGTTGGTCCAAGAATGGTGTTAAACGTAGCAACCAATGAGATGTTAGTTGTCACTGTGGATTACACCCCCATTAACATCTTAGAGTGATGTTGGGTGTTTCCCAAAGCATGGCAATGCTCATCATGAAGATTCCCATTATTTCCAATGGTGCCCATTCACACCTGAGTATTGTGTTGTTTGTCTCTTGAAGCTTGAATTATTTTTTTTGCACTTCTTTTCAGGCAGAATCACACATTTTTGGCCCCAAAGACATGGGAGTGGCTGAAAACACCTAAAAAAAAGCGTGTATTGCTAGTTTTCACTCAATTTTGCGCCTAACAATCGTCTCCTCCTTCCAGTAACTAGCTTATATTGGCTGAAACAAAAACATTCATGCCTGAAAACACAAATGAACAAAGCTTCAAATCACCTGAAAACATGCACATGTGTGAATGGGGGATTAAAGAAGAACTCCGGGCAAGCCAAAAACGTACCCATGCAGTGGGGCTACCCCCGTATTGCAAGGGTTAAGTGCTTGTTTTGTCTAGGGGATCAAATAAAGTTTTGTTACTTACCTGATCCTCAGTCCTGCCAGCTCCATCTGGGCTGCTCAACCGGTCCTCGCAGCCTCTTCTGCCCTGGGCTCCGGTGGCCTAAGGACCTCTGATGTCATACCATCTTACACAGTTCTATTGACTTGTATTAGATGTGAGGACGCCGAGCGACATTGCATAGACGGAGCAGATGGTGAGAGAGGTGAGCACTGACCATCATGGGACCGAGGATCCCCCTAGAAAAAAACAAGTACTCAAGCTACCCCCACACTGCAAGGGTAAGTTTCTTATTTAAAAGCCAACTTCACCCAAAACTGGCAGATACTTGCAGGTTGAATCACAGGTCACTCAGAAATTCTAATTCCTAATTCTAATTCTAATTTCCTAATGGAAATGGAAATCCAGAATAATGGATGCCTTCTGGACTGTACTAGAGCCAAATGTCTATTGTCCTCTATATTATGGGCAGAATGTGGGACCACAACATAATATAGAGGACAATAGACATTTGGCTCTAGTACAGTGGCATCCATTATTCTGGGAGGAGATGGAGACACACAACTTTAGAAGAACCTGACCAATGGAATTTCTGAGAGATATAATAATGCAGATTGTGATTTAACTCCCCAACGCCTATACAAAAAAGGAGATATCAGTATAGTGCGGAGTTGACCTCTAAGTTGTGTGCAATTGCATCTGCTGTCATTAACACAATATTGCCAATGATGGATTTGATTACCTTCATACCTTTTTTTTAATAAATAGGTTTATTTTATGTTTGTTGTGATTGTGTTCCTTCTCTTCATTACACTTTGTATTTCAGGCATTGCAAAAATGTGTAACTGTATGTAATATTGTGAAATTCATGTGAAACGCTGCGGTTCAGTTATCACTGCATGGTGCTAGTGAGGACTGCAAAATTAGAGAGGCTCAAGCTGAACCTGATCCATGAAATCCCGGCCAGATGTGCCCAACCACACCTACATTTGAACTAAACCACACCCATTTTCACTGGCACCCTGCCTTTGAGAGTGGTCTGTCCACCTGCTGTCCTCCTGTCCCCTAAACTCAATGCCGATTGGAGATCTTTGTCTCTGACTTCTCTTTGGCTCTGTCAGACCTCTGCAGAGAGCCCGCTGCTACCACACAGAGAGCAAGGGTTCTTCTCTGCGCCATGCTGGCATGGGGCAGGCTTCCATGTTCAGGCTGTGGCTGCTTTCTAACTGTAAGACTTTTGTTTTCATGCATCTGGACTTGATGGACTTATGTCTTTATTCAGCCTCAAATACTATGTAACTATGTAACTATATATAATTTAAACTACAGGTTCAGCTAGTCTTTATTTATTAACGCAACATTCAGATGTAAGTGAGCCCCGGTGTGATTGGTTCATTGTATTTTATACCCAATGCTATTAACTTAACGTAAATATAAAATGTAGATGTTTTTGCACCGTGTTAATACAATGTAAAATGTAAAAATCATTTATTTTACAGATTTAGATGTAACACCTTTATGATTGGGAACATTTTCTGTTATTTTGACATTTTGGATGTTTTTAGATATTTATTCCCAACAGAAAAAGCTGCTGCTAGTTACTACTATTGAGCAGTGCCTTACATAGCAGCCAATCAGATTTTTGTTTGCAGTGAAAGATGAGTTCTGGTTTGGTGATGAGTAACTTCACATTGACCTTCATTGAATAAGGCGGTTTGTCTTTGGATGTCTTATGATTTCATGACACAGTAAGCCCGGCATCTTGAAGTGTGCTTGATGTTCAAGTGCTACAAAGTGTAACAAGTCACCTTTATCATAAGTGGCTTTGCCAGCAAACAAGAACTGTTTTAAAGGGCCAGTCCACCCAAAACTCATGTAGAAATACCTACTTCGGCGATCTCAATTAAAGTAACACTAAATCTAGGTGTTAAATCTTAAAAATGCCTTCAAGTACCTTCACTATTACCAATCCTTGACCTTATTTGTGTATCACTCGGCTGTAGATCCTCAAATCATCTCTGAGTTGGTGCTGATACTGTTATTCCTTCTGAAGGTTGGCTACTTTAGTTCCCCATGGTCCCTGTGTGTGTTGTAAAGTAGTCACCGCTCCAAGCTTGCTCCTGTGATGGACTACAATCGCAATACAGATTAGGTAACTAAACATGAGAATGTAGTCCATCACAGGAGTGAGGTTGGAGAGGTGGCTAGGGGAATCTCCCCTGCCAGCTATTGTATTCTGACAGTCGGTGCCCACAACTATCAGAATACCTGAACAGTGACTGCATATGATTGGCTTTATAGGCACTATTCAGCTGACAATTTTTCACCACCTGGCTCCTTATACAAAAGTCAATTGAAAATTTAGCTTTTGCAAAACCAGGAAGTACTGGCAGGGCTACCCATGGACCGAATTGCTGGAAGATCTGCGAAACAAGGTCCGAGCTACATGGGTGTTTTTGGAGTGAGTTACATTTGCAGGTCAGTTGCATGACCTGAAGCCAAAGCAATGAATCATGGATTACAGGAACCATTAGCACCAGGCAGTTCGTCTTTAACTTCAGCAATATTAAGTTGTCTCATGATCATTGATTATTCATCTCATATCATTGTGCAATACCCCGTTAGTTGGTGGTCAATTGTACATGATTGTGGCAACATCCGGTCATCAAGGCACAGCTACAGAATTCAGTGTTGAGCAATAGGGAGCTGTGGATTACTGAGATCTGGAGAATTAGGGGGTTTTGGTTGCCTGTAAAATGCCCAAGTACCTTGTGCCTATGAAAAAGTCACATATGAGATTTTCTGCATCTGTAACAGTTTTGCCTGGACCGATCTTTTAAGTAGTTTTCCCTCATGAAAAATGCGCAACTTTTGGTTTTGTATCAAATTTGTCAGATCTGAGAAGAAAAAAAGATTGCATTGACAAACCCACAGACATAAGACAGATGCCACCCTTAAAGGCTATCTCCGGGTTAAAAAAAAAAAAAAAAACTACCCTTACAGTCGGGCTACCCCCACACTGCAAGGGTTAAGTGCTCATTAATGCCTAGGAGTATGATGTAAAAGACTTTTACTTACTTGATCCCCGCTCCCTCAGCAGTCATCTCTGTTCCCTACACTCTGGCTTGTGGACTGTCCCTCTGTGTCCTCACATACACTATAATGCAGGTCTATGGATCGTACATTAGACATGATGCCTGCTGGAGTGGAGAAGAGAAGGGGCTGCGGGCACCTATCTTTCTGAGTATTTTCCTTTTAATTTCCTGTTCATACACAAAAAGGATGCAAATAATCACTATTTTGATCCAACTTGCTACCTCAGTGTTCGGAACAGAGAACTGACAGATTATTGCCGAAGGAAGACATTTCCACGCCAAGCACTGGGTGCCACAGGGCTTATCAGCAGGGAAACAGAGATCTCATTTTATTCAGGGCTGTATAGGGCTGAGATGGAATAAGTGCCAAAGAACACAAGCCTTGGGGTCCTTATGATGTACAAAGCCTATCCTAATACTTCTCACTCTGCTAATAATATACCTTTACATAGGCTGATATTTGGTTTCCTCCTTTTATATGAAAAAACATATTAGATTATATTTGTTCCCCAGATTAGAGTTAGCTATGTTAACAACACTGCCACAATAAATACATTAGAATAATAGGGGGACATATCTATCTATCTATCTATCTATCTATCTATCTATCTATCTATCTATCTATCTATCTATCTGTCTGTCTGTCTGTCTGTCTGTCTGTCTGTCTGTCTGTCTGTCTGTCTGTCTATCTATCTATCTATCTATCTATCTATCTATCTATCTATCTATCTATCTATCTATCTACTGTATCTATCTGTCTGTCTGTCTGTCTGTCTGTCTGTCTGTCTGTCTATCTGTCTGTCTATCTATCTATCTATCTATCTATCTATCTATCTATCTATCTATCTATCTATCTATCTATCTATCTATCTATCTATCTATCTATCTATCTATCTATCTATCTGTCTGTCTATCTATGTCTTGTGCACACTTAACGTCCAAGCCCAGTGTTATGGAGATAAGAGGAGTTGTTCTGGAGTAGTAACACACTTCCTGTCCTAGGGTGACAACACTGCTTCTCTATAGACAAAGTACATGGAGTGACTGTTGCCACCCTTGGACAGGAAGTGTCAGGATCACCAGGTGAAGATAAAGGTAAAGATAACAAAAACTTTAAAAAAAAGAAAACTAATGCAGCCACCACACCTGAGGACAGGGAAGCTGTACATTTATGTTCTTTGGTTTAGATTGGGGCCAAGCTCCTCCACACCTGGAAGGGAAGCTGCC